ACAAACAAAAAAAGTGCCTCCTTATTGATATGGCAGTACCTGCTGACTGCAATGTATCTTTGAAGATATTCAAAAAGATGTCAGAATACAAGGACATTGAAATAGAAATCTCGAAAATGTGGCATATGGGAACATCAACAATCCCTGTTGTAGTTGGAACCATAGGACTGGATGGAAAAGCTTGCATATATATTGTCAGTGGAAAGTGTCATGATGCCATTTCTAACCTTAGGTCCCTGGGCGTGACCCGGAAAGAAATGTGTAGACGCCAGAAATCAAAGAAAATAAAAACAACAAAAACAACAACAACAACAACAACAACAATAATAATAATAATAATAATAATAATTACTATTTATTATTATTTCTTTAAATGCGATGTCCCTTGAGTGGGTAGGCTGTAATAGCTCTCTACCGATTCAATTTCTTTATTTTCTGTAAAGTGTGGGGTTTCCGCGTTAACTTTTCTACAGTTCTTTGTCTTAGAATGATGTTCACCCTGTAAAAGACCCAAGAGCCACTGAAAGCAGAAGTTTACAGAATTTTAGGCAGATTTTACAGGAATATTTGGGAAAGATAACAGTTAGCCCAAGACTTGTACAGGCTATGGTTGTAGTGATCGGGTAAGCATTCTTTCGGGAGTCGGTTAACAGAGTAGACTTTTTACTAAGGCTAGACAACACAGTCTACCCTGTTACTTAATCTATGATTGAGTTGAAAACAGATGCATAGCGTATTTATTTATCTGTACGGGATTTTATTGTGCGAGTGGTCGAGGATTCAGAAGCTTAAATTTCAGAATTCAACATGATCTGGGGAAAATATATAAGCATGCATTATATACGTTTAATAATGAAAGGAAATGGCTACTTGTTGGCGTAGGAAAACACCATGTTTTTCTATTTCAGCTGGTTTATTAAAAGATTTAATAACATGAATATATTGTATGAAGTTACAAGTCTGTATTTCCCGAATAAAAGACAGCAATCTTTTCTCATCTCCAGATTATTCTGACCTCCTGCCAATTAGTATATAAATCTTGCCCGCACTCCATATTAAAATAATGGCCACTAAGATGTCAAAACGGCCTTGGCAGTCAATTCAATATTTACTGTTGTTGCAACCTTATCTTCCCGCATTAGATCTTAGAGATGATTTGACAAGCATGTTATTTGTAATGACGCTTGAGGGTATGCGAAGTGAAGAGATACCCGTGAGAATTATGATGGCGGTTCGATTTAGAGTGGTGACTTTGTCGGGGTTGGGTAATTTTTGGCTACGAAGTCGGTCGCAGGTTAGAGATTGTAGTCTGACGGAAATAAATGTGTCGGTGGCTTCAGTGAAGAAGACAGGAGCTGAAAACGGACAGATTATATTGAGGCCCCAAAATGAACTTAATCATATAGTTTCACGCCTTGTATCGCTTGCAGGTGAGCTCAATACTACACTCGCGTCATTAAGTCGATATGGGGATAAAGAGAAATAGAAAGGAACAAGTAGAAATGGAAATAATTAAAAGAAAGTGAGGGAGAGAAAATGAAAGTGGAAATTGTGTTCAGAATGGCTACAGCAAAAGATGTACTTTGAATGTAGTCGAGAGTCTGTTTGATGTTTTGGCCGGCAAGACTGACACAATCACTTTCTTTAGAAACGGACAGTTCGATTGGCTGGCTTCGTTCAATTTGTCCGGCCCAGGGTTGGTAAAATGGTTGCAAACACGATGTAGAGATCTGCTACAGTTTGTCATTACATTTTTTTTTATTTTTGCTCTGGTCTCTGTTTTTCTAATTCTTTTTATTTTTTCATCATTTATAACGTTTTCTCTCGTTTTTTTTTCTTTCTTGTTCATTTCGCCATATTTTGCTTCAAATACACACTCATTTTTATAATTATAATTCGAATTTATATTCATTAAAATTAAATAATCCTTTACTTCATCGTGGCATAATTATTCGACATATTTTATTCATTATGTTTTCCTTTGTATCCCGATATATTTTTTTTATCTAATGAGATCAATGTTACGCATCTAGCTTGATCTCTGGGCATACAGACGTTCAAAAGGACAGGTTCGTATTATCTGTGACCGAATGATGACAAAATAGGTTATCTGCAGATGTGTCTTAAGTATACGTTTAGTTTATAAATTGTTGATCAGTTAATTATAATAGTCGGCCGATATGAAACAACGCATGTGATTAAGAGACAAACCAGTACCAAAGAATTTCGGCCTTTCTTAGATTTACGAAACTGTCAAATGCAATTGGTAACTTTTTGTGAATTAAAACAGATTGTTATCCCTTTTGTAACTCCTATTCTCTGCCCATGAAACATCCGAATTAAGTGAATATTAAGCTGTACCAAGAGAAATCGTTGCTGCATCTAATTGAAGACAAGATGATGTAGGTTACGAAAATGTTAGTATATGACATTTAGTATAGATAAAAGGAAATTGCTAGCAAGCATCAAATTAATTTCTTCAGGCTTTGTTTGACATCTAAATTAGAAACATTAAACTCTATTTTTTACATGAATTGCTAAAACTTACCAACCATCTCTTAAATATGTAAAACCCATTTACATTTTCTCTTTACTTCCCTCTCCCTCTTCTTCCTTTTCCCTTTTTCTTCCTCTTCTCTTCTCCCCTCCCATTTCAATATATCACATCCGTTAAGCTAACCGTTTAAATCGGTCATGGTCTGGTCACTCCTTCTCCCGCAATACTAAGTATGATTGGGAGAGATATTAAATTAAACCCTCCCTAAACTCTACCATGTCTCTCTAACTATCCGTATTACACTCTCTGTTAAATTGCAAAAACTTACACTACACATCAATTTTCATTTCATTTTTCGTTTCATTTTTGAAAGTGCTTTCTGATGATCCGGAGTCCTTTAAAAGGGCTCTGGTGAAATAAATTATTATAATGGAGCCTTAAAGTGGTCTGTTTTTCTTTAAAATATTAGCTCTGGATTTACATTGAGCTCTCAGGATTTCATCTTCCTTGGGATTACCCATACGGATTACCAAGTTTTTCATAACTTAAATTACAATATATATATTTAATGTTCTTAAATTTATTACTTGCTAATGATGCATCTGTTGACTACTTATTTTCTTTTTCAAATATTTTCTGGAAATAAATTAGTAATTTCAATATGTTATGAGTTTGTGAAATTTTCAACTATTTATTTAACGGAGTTCTCTTTGTTTTTTCCACTAATGTTACGAATAACGTATGTACTTTAATCACTATTAAGCCTTAACGTCATGTCAAGGAAGATAAGCATGTAAACACTCCTCTCGTGTGAACATATCTGATCTTATAACATTACCACGGTTAGGAATAAGTTAAGCGTAGGATAAATATCAGTACTGTGAGTCATGGGCTTAGAATTATTTAGAATTATTATTATCTTAGCTAGAATTATTGTTCACCGTAAGAGTGAAGAAAGCGAGTTCAGGTGCATACGAAATATGCATTTCCCTATGCAAAACTAGAATAAACTAGTCCTAGAACTGCAGCTGAAATTCTCCGCGACTGCACATTTTTTGTTGCATGTAGGATTAATGGATACGAACTCAAGTCGAACAACTGAGAAGTTACTTGATCTTGAAACTTATGTACGTGTTAAACCTAACGTGTGTCAAATTGTACCACTAAGACGCGGAGTGAAAGTAAGGCGAATTTCGTAGAAATTGTAGCACGGAGTCAGAATAAGTATATTTATTTTGGGCGCTCACAAGTAGAGTTGGTTAGAGAAATAGTTTTGAAGTCATAGTAGTAAGATAGATACAGATAATATTAAGACCCTGGGATAAATTAACCTCAATAAATACCCGTTTAGGACTGCTGATGCGAAACGATCAAAGTTAACAATTGTTCTTCAAGCCATAGAAAAGACAAGAGTTTTCGTATAGATATTCATGTACAGTGAAGCTGGACCGGTGTAAGGGTTTCGAATATGTTTCCGAATCTGTAATATGGGGCTCCTATACTACTAAGTATTAATTTGCATAAGTTATTATTCATATAAAATACAAATTTCATTGTAAACTAATTATGTACAATAATGGATCAGGCGAAATATATGCGAAAAATTCATCCAGAAAATTGACAATAAATACGATGTATCTAAATAACAAAATATAGAACATTCCAACTTAAATGAAGAGGAGGCACGGTGGAGTAATGGATAGCGGCTTGGATTTAGGAATCGGAGAGCCGATTTTGAATTCCAATCGAATCCATTACATTCACTTACGTACTAATACGCTTGGGAAAGGTGTGGATCCTCTTCTTCTCCCACCAGCTATGGGTAAATAGCAGGACAGACTGGGTTCTATAGCCTTGGATGGCAACTGGTCTAGGAGAAGGAAAACTCTGAATTCAAAACCTGTGGAAAGTGGTTTGGGGGCCTTGTGGCACGTAGTGCACCAGGGCTCTGTAATCGGCCCTTCAAAAAGTGTGGATGGTCCTGCACGAAACCTTCACCACTATAATCAAATCTCATGTGCTATACATACGGGTTGGGGACCGCTTGTGAATTCCAAATTCCCATGAAACTCCAATATTGGAGCCGGCTCAACCCACCCCGGGTGAATGCCGTTATAAGAACAAGAGAGAGAACTTAAATGAATCAACAATGTTTTGTGTAATTTTCAACATTAAGCTGATATTTTTCTTGTTAAAATGTAGCATAACTTTAACACATTGAAGATTATGCATAAAAATAGTGAATTTTATATATTGGTTTTAGTGACTTAGCATGAGCAAAACAAATTCAGGGATTTGTACGAAAAAAGAACACAGAATGACGTCAAAATTCGCGAAAATCTTTCAACTTTTAATACTAATTTTTACTATTATTTCTCCGTCTATTCTCAATACCAGTACGAATACAGTCATTTCCTCAAAGTTTTCATTTTTCACCTCCCGTCCAAGGAAAATGGTTCATTGTAGAAAGCAATGGACAAAGGTCACAGTATAATCCAACCAGCCGTTCATAACAACTCAAACTCACAAGAAACTGACCAATACAATGGTCACTCGAATAATGCTAAAACAAGCATTGTAACGTTAGATATTGTCCAGTTGGCCGTGTTCATTCGTCCGCCTAACCGACCGACAGAACAGTTGGTCAGCCTCTCATCGGACAGCACGACTATTTGTTCGCATGCTCCATCCGTCTGGCTATTTGCTTAAAGCCAGCGTCTCGTGCGATTGATATTAGTTTCAATATCGAACCGTTTGGATATTAGCTTGAAATGAGTCAATCAAACGATTTTATCTTTACATTTAACCGTGTGTTCTCTCGTTCGATCACAGCAGATCGAATTGCTAAATATTGTACTTCTCCGCTTGTGTTTCAACTCCTCGGCTCTTTTTATGTTCTGTTCGTTTTTCTTTCTGTTCTGTTTCATTCCCATTCGATGTATGAATCTTCGCCCGTCGACTCATGTATATCGGTTTATTTGAATTGGTTTATGTCTCTCGCAGTCTAATCCTTTCTCTCGAAATCTCTCCGATATTTTATCTGTTTTCTCCTTCACTGTTCTCTTATCCTTTACTGGTATTTCCAATCACTTCAACCTTTTCGGTATTCTGCAAGAATTATTTGTTCTGATTCCTCTCCCTACTGTTGGCTTCATTTTTCCTTTGTTTTTATTACTCAAGCCAGATACCTGCTGGATGTGCGTGTGATGTAATGAATAGCGCCTCGGAATGAGAAATCGACGATTCAAATTCGGATTTCAGTAGGATTCGTTACATTCACTTACGCGCAAATCGCCTTGCGAAATACAATGTAGTAATACAACTCCTCCGCGCAGATATGGCTAATATAGGAAGAAAAAATATGAAAAAACAATCATTGTTATTGTCAAATACCTATGTAATATTAACTCGCAAAAGTTAATGCATAAAAGGTAGATAAACCGTCAAAAAGTACAAATCAATCTATTATTCGATACGTTGTACTGTTCGTGCTGTATTGTGGCTAAGATGAATTCGATTTTCAGTTGAGCCCTTTCTGTTTGGAAGACAAGAAATTATAATATTCCCGATCTCATAGAATCCCGTTGCCAAATCTCGATAATTGTCTCTTATTTGCCTGAGGTGTGAATAAGATAGATCCATATCCGACTTGTGCAACTCTTAAAAAGTTATTTTCTAATAGTGATAGTCATGAACAAAGAAAGCATCTGTCAATGGAAAAAAAGAACAACTCTAATTGTATATTAATCAATAGATTGTTATATGCTGCATTATATATATATATATATATATATATATATATATATATATATATATATATATATATTTGTATTGATGTGAGTTTGTGACCCTAGGTTTCACACTTTTGCGATCGTCAGTTCTGTCTAATAAGTACCGCATATAATATATAAATATAATATATATATATATATATATATATATATATATATATATATATATATATATATATACACTTTTCATTCACACACACACACACACACATATATATATATATATATATATATATATATATATATATATATATTCAACAGCTCTAAAAATTCAATAAGCGTTCAATTGTCATAATTTAATTGAATGGCTCTAGAATTTCATGTCGAAAAGCTCTTATTTTGTATTCTATTCTGATGATATATTCATTAAATTGATATTTTTGTATTTATATATTAGGAAATCTACGGCTAATATGATTTACCAAAAGTAATTTTAATAAGAAGTCGCCAATCTTTATTCCTAAAGGGGTGATAAATGAATTGTATTTCGATTAGTATTCATTGAATTTATGCATTGAATTTTGTAAAATTGTTTTATAATAATACAATAGAACTGATTAAAATGCCATTAATTTAACATTTAATATAGCACGCAGACTACTTGTATTCTGTATATTTAAAAATATTTTTGATTCACTTCCTAATTTCTGTATGCAACCGTCAATAATGAATTCCATATTTATACAGTTTTTTTAAATTATGATATATATTTGTTGTAATGCCTGTATAAGCTCATAGTTCTAGTTAATAATATTCCAAGGAAAATACTGGAAGTAAATTGATTGATGAAAGGGGTTAATCACATGGATTAATAATACAATAATAACGGATTCCGTAATTAGTACAGCAATGTGTACGGCCCCCTTTGCGACTCACGATCACAGCAGACGTTTCTCTTATAGCAAATGGGAAAGTCTATGTTCAACAGTTTAATGTAGCGAATGTCAGTCGTCTCTCTATACAACAATATTCCTTTTTTACTGTCATATATATTCAGAACATAGGCGATCATAGCTCTTTGCATCTTTCTCTTATACCGTTTACATGAATTGCTATAATTTATTGGTAAAGAGATTTGAATATTATATCAAAGGCTTTCTCCACAGTTCTAAATTTAGAGTCGTCCTTCTCCTTGACGAGTTGCTACCAAAGGCTCGAGAGCTATGTAATAATATTTAGGCCATAACTGCTAGGCGGGAAAAAGCGTGTGTTTATGCCTTTCCCTAGGGTAATAGTACGAAACTGAACGGAACAGACTAAGTTGAAATTAGAACTCGGCTTTCATATTCCATTTTACGTTTTCATAAAAGTTATAATTCCTTCAAATAAAGTAATTAATATAATATTTAAGGTTCTTTTTGAAATACAAGCCTGTTGAATGTGTAAGGAGTTAAAAGAAACCATGATTGCATGAATATTTTGTGAGATTCGCATTTGAAGTAAATTTAGCAAGCAAGACGTTACTGAATATTTAACATTAGCTATAAGTGGCTTACGTCAGTAAAAATAAAACCAACGAAAAATAGTGAAACGCAATATGAGTTTGAAGCTTATAAACATTTTCAATTTTCGTTCTCACGGTGTGTGACCCTTTCTTGTCACTTTGCATGCACAAAAAATAGATGAACAATCACACAAAAAAGGACGGAAACACACATATATTAGAACATAAAAAGAAAAAAGTATAATTTTATGCCTATTACACACATATATCAAATTGTAATAATATAGAAATTGTATAGAATAAATTTCGCCAATAATTCTGTAAACGGGCTTTAAGCTTTTAGTTAAGATTTAACACTAAATGTTGGAGATAATTGATTAACAACTATTTTCAAAATAAAGTCAACTAACAATAAAGAAAACAGGATGCAAATTAAGTAATTGCTGTGTTTTTCATAACATAATAGCATAACTACCAATCATTATCACTACAGGCATTATTATTAGGGGATATCCACATTTGAGTAGACTTTCTGTTCATTTTAAAATGTATTTAATTCGTCTATTAGCGAGCATACTCAAGAGCAATTTAAAAAAGAAAATTCAGGTAGGATCCCAAATTTCGTCCCCTTTTACAGGAGGAACCAGTAATAAAAATATATCGTATTGAAAAAATAAAATTCATTAATTCTTTAGAATTACCTACCTACCTACTATATATATATATATATATATATATATATATATGTATATATATATATATATATATATATGTGTGTGTGTGTGTGTGTGTGTGTGTGTGTGTGTGTGTGTGTGTTGATGCAACAGGAAGGAATAGCTAGATTGATGATCCAATGTTATTTATTAATTTTGATTTTATTTTTACAAACAGTGCTCTATACAGACGGTAAATAGAACATAACTCAAAATGAGTTTTAATAGATAGTAACAAAAATAACAGCGCCTAATAGAAATGACCATTGTAACCAGACAAAAATGGACAAACGCAACATTATACAAATCCAAAATATCACATATAATAAAAATTCCTACTTTCATCAAAGCAGTGACCCCTTGATAATAAAAATCAAACCCCAGATTACACCGCCATTTCCAAACTATAAATTAGTAAAACATCTGTTTGGTTAGTTATTCCAGACATCGCTTTAGAATGAAACGGTCATCTAAAGTTAAGGTTTAATACTGAAATTAAACTTTACCACTTGTGAATCAGTTTTGAAGCATATTAATTTATGTACCGCGATGGAATCATGTTTTTTAAATACCTGCATGCCCATTCTAACACATGCTTTGACTAAATTGCATTATATATATATATATATATATATATATATATATATATATTTGGTTGGATAGATGTGAGTTTGTGACCCTGGGTTTCACGCTTTAGCGATCGTATATATATATATATATATATATATATATATATATATATATATATATATATATATATGTATGTTTACAAAAATTACTGAATCAGAGAAATGAAATAGCTATTTTTTTTTGTCGTCAATGTCAAACATTTTCCTTAAATAATATTTCAAAATAAAATTAAATAATGATAGCTGGTATTATACATACTTATATTTGATATGAAAAAATAATTTTAAATAATGTAAGTAATGCTATTACATTTACTTGTTTTTAAAAAGAAATATAGCTATTAGTAAATAAGAGTAAAAATATTTTAAAATTGTGGATAAATAAAATGTATTCTAACACAAACAAACCGAAAAAGAATCTTTATTAATACAAGTAAGAAAAAATGCCGAAAAATTTTTTTTCCGTTAATAAAATAAAACAGACGACAAGCATTTAACGGATGTCAGAATTTTTTGGAGAATACACCCCTACCCTCCCTAAACTTAAGTTCATAATTGATACAACAATAGTTAATAAAAATGAACGCGCTACCTCCCCTGTCTGAATAATTGTATTCCTATATATCCTTGGAAAATGTAAATTATGCATTTATATGTGCATTTAGTAAATTCAGTAAATTTAAAAATAAGTTATTCCAATATTCGCTTGAAGATTAAATGGAACTAATGCTTTTTATTTAATCATATAATTAAATTTATATAAGATTTTAGCCTTCGTTTTTGAAACATGGTTATTACTGTGTAGCGAAAAAAAACATATTTTCAATCAGTTAATTTATAATACATATATATATATATATATATATATATATATACATATATATATATATATATCCCTACGCCGACAGTACGCCTATTCACGTACTGCACTGATTTATTTATTCGATGAAATGGAACTAATGCTTTTAATTTAATTGCAAAATTAAATTCGGGGATTTTAGCTTCTATTTTTGAAACATGGTTGGAACTGTGTAGCGAAAAAAACCATATTTTAAATCAATTAATTTATAATATTAATGCTCTGTAAATTTACATTTGGCACTATTTTGTAAAAATAAAAATATCTATAAGA